ATGACACAAGAATAAATCAAGGGATATGTTACCGGACTGATTTTTCCATTAAAATCTTTCTTTGCTTCGAGGGCAGATACGATATTATTGTCGGTGGACGTTGAGCTGGTGGAGAAGCTTTTGGAGTTTGAAGCTTTCTCCCAGCACTCCTGAGTACGCATGAGTGGAATAAAAAATATTATTACACCCACTATCTTCTTTATAATAAAAAAATGAATAAAATCCCTGAGACTGAATCCTCTCCAATGACCCAAAACCCTAGATTCTACCCTTCCCAAAAATATAATTACCGATTCTTGTCCCATTTTGGAATTAAGTGACGAGCTCTTGCTCTCGGAATTGATTGAATCGGAGCTGGCATTTTTTGTCGAATGCTCATTCCCCAGGAGTTCAGTGCTTCCTCTCTTCTCCATGACAGATAATCCTGGGACACGTCTCTTCAGTGTGTTGGGGTCGTTGTCGCCATCACCGAGCCTTCTGTCACTGCCGAAGTGCTGGGAATAATAAAATAATTATTAGGTGGAAATAATCTCCCTGGGGATGAGATTGAATTGCGATGACACGTACATTGTGCATGAAAGTCAAATTTCCAGTTTCAGTATCGGTTTCCTCGGAGGACGATAACTGGATTAAGGATCTAGTGGGATCTACCACAGGTACATCTACTTTGTCAGTCTTCTTGGACATGGATGGTGCAGCTTTGGATGAATTTATATCGTGTCCTGATTAATGGATTGTATTTTTAAAAAGTGTAAATTAAATTTTTTTAATTGTGGGGCAATCAAAAGTGCATGAGTGCATGAGTGCATGAGTGCATGAGTGCATGAGTTGAAAAATTGTGGGAGTTCTTGAAGAATTTGTCTGTTACGAATTTATTTATGATTATTGAATTATTAATTAGGACTAATTGAATTTTATTCGATTGATTTCGAAAAGTATTAGGGGTAATAAAATATCAAATATGATTAGAAACAACAGAAATGTTTTTCGTTGAGACATAACCTAAAAATGAAATAAATTCACTACAACAATTCCTGTGAGAGAATTCTGAGTGCATGAAAAAAATATGAAAATGAAAATTGATACGTGACGTTTTAATCTCTGAAACAGCTGTAAATAGTGACAGGGAAGAATAATTGTCTCTTGAGTGTTTGGAATTCGAATGATCGAGTACATCTGTGCCACGCCCCGATAAAATACAAAATAAATTAAAAAACAACAAAAAATGTGAGAGAACAATAAAAATGATTGTCTAAATATTTATTACGTTAAACTGACCTCAAAAAATGGGCACTTGTGGTTATGGAAGAATCGATTGAACTGTTTCTGCTCCAAAGAGAACAATTGAATAAAAAAAATATTTATTTACTCGTCAGATGGAGTTTATGTT